CGTAAACGATATTTTCGAACGGTACAACGCATTAAAGGAACATGTCAAGTCCATGCTGGAAATCCTTTTTCTCAGCCACCGACATTAATCTCGAACGTATCGAACTAGTAATCCTAGGGACCATAAGGTGATCAGTTATGGCCATTTAGTACTCAATCAGGTGTATATCAACCGGTCACTCTGGTAAAGCGCTTGAACATCATTTAGTGGAAGTCAGAACAGTGGTTCTAAAAGGAAGAACGAGTTGTAGGGAAGCCTTTGTTTGCATAACACAAGATTCCCTGTTTGCCTAGATATAAAAATACCAGTCAGTTGACACTGTTGGCTGCGATTGAAGTAAGAAAGCCCAGCACACAGAACGATCGCGCGTTGCAATCGAAACCGTCGCCAAGGAAAAGTAGTGCTCGATCCAAGCAATCAAACTCGACAACTAGTTCAGCAACCCGCACCACCAAAAAGTGAAACTTAAGGAGTAATTATGGATCGACCAACCAACTTTGTGGTTATGGCAAGCAAATTGGAAAACAGCAGCGTAAATGTACATCCATATATACACAAAAGTGTGCAGTGAGAAAAATGGGCGAAGTTGTGTATTTGGTCTTAAAAAGGTTTTTGCTCTTTCTGTTAGTCTCAAAACGTCTTGTTATTTGTTGCGAGATTTTGAAAAGCTTGAAAATGTGATGCCGGCTTTTTGGAACATAACAAACCCTGACAAAATCTATGAAGCACACTTGTGGTGTGAATTTTCTGCCATGTAAATTGATAGTAAGGCTGGTGTCGGTTGAGGCTGTAGGTTCCGCTGAAGCGGAGTGACTGTTCTGTGGTTTCGGAGCTGGACATGTTGGCAAAGGCTGAATTGGTGCTTTCTATGCCGGTGGGTAAGATGTATTGCGCCTATGATTTTATAGTTCGTGATCAGCTTGTAGGGCAGCAGCGATGTCGGCTAGATCGATGTTTGTTTTCCGTTAAAAGCTGATCTGGTGGTTTCGTGAAAGAGCGTTTGCAACGTGAGTAATGACACTTAAGACATATCATAAGTCCTTCATGAACTGAGAGAAGTAATCTACGCGCCTAGTTCCCCGCGAAGAATATTCGTTTGTTGCATCATCGATTGCGTACCTCAACGGCTTGTGGTCAACGAAGACAGTAAAATATCGACCTTCGAAATAGTGACTAAAGTGTTAAAAACCCATCTAAGTTGCAAGTAGCTCCGTACCAAAGGTACTGTAGTGCGATTCTGCACCTTGTCGACGTTTCGAAAAGAAATCTAGTGGTGTGCAATGCTTGTCGATGGCCTGTTAAATAACTACACCAACGGCGGTGTTTGATGCATCACTTGACAGAGAATGTGGTGCAGTTGGGTCTGAGTGGACAAGAAGCGCAATCTTAGTGCTATCATCTTTAAAGTTCACGAAAGTTAACTGAGTGTCGTCTGGGAAGTAAAAATAGCGTTACTTACCGCATAACAAGTCAATTATTGGTTGAATTAAGCTCGCACAGTGGAAAATAATGCGTCGGTATTAGTTGACTAGGCCAAGGATTCGGCGGAGCTTTTTGATGGAAATAGGAGCACTGTAGTCCATCAGTGCATGGATTTCGTCTGGTAGAGCTTCAATACCAGTGGATGACTTATTGTGTCCAAGAACGTTGATAGTCTTTTGGCTAAGATTGCGGTTTGTAGTATTGACAGTACACCCATGTTGCGTTAACCATTCGAAGAGCATCAAAAGGATGAAGCTGTTCATCCCCAAAAGAGCCGACGATAAAAGTGTTATCTAAATACCAACAAACGTATTCTGTTCCCCATGGTGCCTCATGAATGAAACGCTGCGTTGCTAAGGCCACGATTCATTCGGAAGTATTCGAAATAAAAAAGGTTTGATAACTGCTGTTTTAGTAATATCGGATGGCGTCACAAGTAATTGAACGTAGACGCACACTAGTTCTATTTTGATGTGGATTTTCTTGCTAGCCAGAGCTGAGGTTACTTCATGCCGATGCGGGAAGGGTTACTTAACCTAGATGGTAAGGTTGTTGATTGCCATGTTGGCAACACAGATGTGTCAGTCAGCGGATTGATTTGACACCACGCGTAATGATGATGCACAAGAACTCCTAGACCGCCGGATTACTCTAAATTCGAGCACATGTTCTAATTCCGCCGTAGCCGCTTTGTCTTTGCCCTCGGCTATTTTGCGGTGGGCCGAAACTGGTGGACCATTAGTGTATATATGATGTATACCGCCATGGGATGTGGGTCCTATTGAGAGCAAAAGAATTTAGAATGCAATTTCTTAAGGTTTATAAAAGTCTGTGAAGCTTGAACTAGTACACGAAGGAGAGCAAATGCAGAAACTTTCAATATAGTGACGATACCACTGCTATGTTATAAGATGAAAAAGCTTCTGCCTTTTCGCATCTAGAATATGGCCGAAATGTTGAAAAATCAATGCCTATGTCGGCGAAAGGCACGGCTGCAACAATGCAAACCCGACAAAGTGATCGCCTGAGGCCCAGTCCGAGGGCTAGCTGCTTTAACTAAGGCGCCATTAACGGGACATAGTCTAGTCTGCAGAATTAGTCTAGTTCGAGTCTTGTGTCCAATAAGTGTTCAGTAAGTAAAGTTACATTCCAAAAGCGGATGATACAACTTTGGTGTTGTCCGGTCACGCCAGCCGCTATTACGGTCCAGAGGAGTAGTTTCCGTGCTTCTCGTCGAAGGTGCAGGGCTTAACGCATTTACAAACCGCGTCACCAAAGCGTTGGTGGAAAGACAGTAAGATTGTCTGTTGCTAGACTTGAAGCTCCTTGAGGGCGCTTTTGATCGGCTGTGACGGCGACCGCTCATAATGAGCTGTTGGCCTTGGCGGCTATGGCAACTTGTGCTTGCATGGCCTTATAGTTGACAGTAAGCAGGTGACATAATTGCTCTGCAATGCAACAGCGTTGACCTTACTGGCGTCGGCTTGTGGCTGTGATCGTTCAGTGACTGGTTCTGCTAGCTTAGCTAGCTGCGTGAGCGATACGGATGTCACGAGGACGAGAATCGCTTGTATAGTTCCCGGTAGCCGCCGCAGCCACAGTCCACGTAGCAGAGTTACCTTCAGGGTGAATAAAAGAAGAAACTGTTGCATTCCTTGTAGCATAGTTGAGGCCAATTCATTGCCCAACTGTAGATCTCAGGAAAGGTGCTGCAGGCGGACTTTCTCAGAGCGTATGACGCACCTAATCATAGCCTCCTTAATGGCATTTTGTCAGTCTTCTGCCTGAGAAAATGGGAAGTCTCTAACCTGCATGGATATCACTTTGGAAAGATATGACTTAAGTTTGCTGTAATTAAGATAGTCTGTATTGATGCTGTGGTTCTAAACTTATGCTTCTAGATAAGCGAACCCAAAACTGGATCCATGTCCGAAAAAAGGTTGGACAGAGAGAGAGAGAACACTAACAAAAGCTGACTACTTTGTGGTCCACGGAACCCACGAATAACTATTGGGCAGGAAATATTTACGACGTAAGCGAAACTAACACAGAAGATCTAGAAAAATAAATGGGACGGGCCCAGGGGAGAAAAATTGAAAGAGCCGGCGCTTAATTTCTCCCCAGGTCGAGGTCAGCAATTTAGGGGAACCAGGATGGCGATCCCAAAAAGCAGATCAAGTCGTAGGGAAGCTTTCATTTACACAGCAAAAGATTCCTTGTTTGCCTAGCAATAAAACTGCGACACAATTGACCGTGTTAGCTGGGGGGAAGCAAGAAAGCACCGCACACAGAGCAAGCGCGAGTTGCAATCGAAACGAGCGTCAAGGAAAGGCGGTGCTTTACCCAGGCACTCGGATCCAAGAACTAGCTAAGAAACCCGCACCAGTCGCCTAAATGTATAATGAAAAAGCAATTATCGTTAAACTTTTACACAGGCAAACCAGGGAATCTCCAGACTGAAAAATTAGCTTCATCGAAATACGCGACTGCAGAAAAATACCTGTATTAGACGCTATCTAATTTCCGCTGTTTTATTCCCCTTCCTTCTAGGCGATATTTTATTTGACTTATTTGAATTTGTGCGTAAACGTTACTTTGAACATACAATGAGTAATGATCTCAAGTTTATTCGGAATGTTTAGCGTAAAAATTGTACTCTGATAAAGCAGTTAGATACACCGCACTTGACGGCCTAGTTTGCTGCCTGCTAGCTGTAATTGACGATAAAATAAAGTCGAAGCCGGCAGTGTACTGTAATGTTTTCAGTAGAGCAATATCTGACACCTGTTTTATTCACTAATTACGGTACGATTTATCAACTTTCACAATTTTCATTTTGGTGCGAATCCCAATCCATATGGGGATTGCTCGCCACACAACGAAGGCTTCAGTATTACTTTCAAATCAGTAAACTAGAAGATTCTCTTCCATGAATATTCAAGAGACACATCTGGGTACTAGTTTCAGATGCTAGCATGAGAAAACGATCCATAATATATCCTTTCAACGCTGTTGCCGCTGCACGTAGTTGAATAAATTTTGTTAATTGCAGTTAGGTTTCCCTTCTTATGAGTAAACTTAAAAAGCGCGTTGTTTACAAAACCGTCCATACTTGCTTGAAACGAAGGCACACTACCCGCGCTAACCATTTCTACAGTAAATCATAGCTTCGAGTGCGCATGAAGCCAACGTATGTCGAATGGCAAAGCACCTACTTAGGCTCGTCAGTGGGCATCAACCACGGTGGTAGTGTTCAATCAAACAGTTGCATAAAAAGAAATACTATTCCCAATCAGTTCTTTTAGATCTGTCATGACGATGACTGTGTTAGCCTCTATCCAGTATGACGTTAATATTTGTCCAGTTTCTGATGAATAACCGTCAACCGATAGGATGACGCAAGTTTTTGTACCAAAAGCCAGAACGCTTAATTCAAGCACGGTGTATGTTTGTGTTTTGGTTGAAGAAAGCTCCTTCCTCGACCTATCATGTGGGTCGAATGAGATATTGACGCTTCTCTACAATTCCTTTTTGTGTGTTGTAGATTGCGCTTTCGTTGGACGATTTGAGCTCCTGCGTCGTCTTCTCCAGAAGGCGGATTGTGGGTCAACCTGTAGATGGGTTCTCGGTTTACCTTCATTTATGCTATAAGCCAGCAATAGCATTCTCATTTCTGCCAGACTAATTTTTCCGTCATGATTGAGATCCCAGTCTTTGAGGATGGCTGCTTTGGTAAAAGCCAGATCGCTATCGTCATAATCCTGCGGAGAAGATATGAAAAAGGCGATATTTTGTGCGGCACTGGTAGTATTGAAGTCCAAATGTGTCTCCAAATTGTGCAAGTCCTAAATCTTTGTGCTTTTTCAGTTTATCTAGCAACTCTCATCGTGCTTTTCTACTTACTGTAGGCTATCATTTGGAGAGCTCATTGTATTTCATACGCTGAGCCGATCAGATTGCGGGGTCTACCAAATATACCAGTGTATTAAAGTACTACGTGGTAATAAAACGCTTTATCTATCTTGCGCATTAAGTAATTTATTACTGAAAGACCTATTTCTTAACAGGACATAAAGTTAAGTTCAACGGAAGCACCTGGGTAATCTGCTCGAAAAACCGGATCAATCTATAAGCCCTTTCTCAAGAGCTATTAAGTGATATGTTACACAATGTTCAACTCTCTGATATCTATGGTCCCTACTTATATAATGCACCCATTTTGTTCGTCAGTCGCTAGACCTGAGGCACCCATCCAGAGCAAAGTTCATGAGATGAGGACAAATATCAATAGGAATAACTCTGTGTCACTTGAGTGATAATGGAGGATTTTTATGTGAATTAATTTCGGTGCTTGTCCGCTGTTTGATTCAAAAATTTCGCGACCAATTTTCAAAACAAGGCAACCACAAGAGAGCGATTAAGTAAAGAGATACTCCTAGACTAGGAATTTTCCAAATATTGGGAATCAATCAGACAAGTACTTGTAAGTTGATATAAGTATAGTCTCAAACCTTGATAACACACCAGGATTTTTGCAGCGGAAGTGCCTTTAGCATTAGACTTGTGGTAAACGCTAACATTCATTAAAATATATATAGTCATGGAGCAGAGGATTTTGAATATATCACCTACCTGATTGGTTAGTTCCAGTAAATCCTTTAGAAACCCATACAGCTCGTCATTTTCTATGGTGCCATTGTGATCCTGTGAAGACCAAGAAGAATACTCGAAATTCATCCGAACAAAAGTTGCGCTAGACTGAGGACATGCATAGCTTATTTATGCAGCAATAAAAGGAAGACAACTTTTGTTACTATTTGTTACCACTTTGTAATTTGTCGAAATACCTCCTAACTTGGGTACTCAAAGAAAAGCACTGAGGGGCTTGGTCATTGTTTTTAGGGACAAACTAGAGTTATGGGTGTGATTGCGTAAGTTATCAAGCCAATAATAGTCAACGTTTCCGTATTTTACAACACTGGGTTTTCTTATCTTTGGAAGATACAGATATCCATTCGTTTTGCTGACTGCAATTACCTAGCACGCACATTACAGGTGAACTTTACAATACGCTTTTCTCTGTTCATTATTCTTGTTTAACTGCCTTCGCTACCTTTTGGCGTTGTCCATTCTCTCTGATGCCATTAAGAACAGCTTTTTCTAACTCTTACTGCTTCAAATCTAAATGGTGACTGCAGTTGTCATCACCAATACGGCTGTTCGGACCCGTCATTGGGGGACTATACCCACATAAAAAGGTTGCGATGTGAGTAGAGTTAGTATCATTTCGATGCCACTTTGGTCACTGGTCTCCCAAGGGTTACATATATCAATCACGAGCTAAGCCGTGCAGATGTCTTGACCTCTCGGTTAGCAACCGATTCGCTTGGTACATTCGCGGCTTTGGCATGCACCTAAACGCTGAACTATACCCTGCGCCATACATTCGACTCATCGGGCAAGATTCTGTCCGGGACTTAAAGGTGATTGCTATCGCTGCATACCTGACCGAGTCGTTAAACGTGTTTTGTCTTGCAACTAAAGTGAAGGCCAAGACGTTCAGTCAAGACTTACTTGCAGAAAAGATACACTGACCACTATCCATGGCCAACACTGCTGGACCATTAACGTAGACCTGAGCGGAACATTTTACTGGGTGTCTGAAGTTATTGCAGCCCAGTTTGTCATCGTCCGTGTGTATTTTTATCATATGTAGGACCTAAAGATGCTCGAATGAGTAACGACACTTAACGCTCTTTGTGGTTCAGCAGTCATTCTTGTCTACTCCAGATTATTATGAACTTAAACCTTCTAAATTCCAATATTGGTTACGCAGTGCTATCAATTTCGTATCACCTATGCAGCTTCTGACTGGTCTTCTTAGAGCAATAGATCGGAAGTTCATTTTTCCCGGCACAATGCAGTCGGAGTTAACTGAGCTCAAGGCTTATACAGTAAAACTTCTGAAGTTGACCACTTCTATATTCTGACCGTTTCTTCTTTTTTGTTTGAAAGCACAGCATGTAGACCTTATGGAATCAGACCCTTCTATGTGAACCGCCACATCCAATTGGCTACCTTAGTCCAGTCTCCCGAGTGTCAAACTTAAGTAGGATTTAAGGTATCTGTAACCAATTTTTCCTGGCCTATTTTTATCGTTCTTTCCTGTCTCATCAACCGGTGATGTTAGTGTCTAAATTTGTCCACGAGAGTTTGGTTTCGAAGTTCCAACAAGCTAGTCCGAAATTCTTACTGGGAATGTTATCCTATCAAATACAACAGAACAGGAAACGTCCTTCTAATATATTTACTGTACTGAATCATAAAATGTACCGGGCAAGCATATTGAAAAAATTGCCGAGTTACTGCTTACTGGCCTGGCTAATACACAGTGGAGATTCTCATGGTGGTTCTCTTTAAATCTTACTTCATTCCTGCACGTACGCCCTCAGCAGAATTTTACAAAGATCAGGGAAAAAATATCAACGCTCAAATAAAATGGGTTTAAGGTTCCTTCAAAACGCAGGGGACCAAGGTCTAAATAGTCGGCTAAGCTCTTTATACACTTTTGATCGTCGCGTCATTTTGTGCTGCTGGTTATTCGGACTTACTCCGTCACACATTGGGGCAAGTTATAGGACGTAAACAATTCCATCGCAGGTTAAAGAGCTCCATCTACTGAAATAGTTTTCCCAAGAACAACTTTAACATAACCTTACAAATATATATATATATATATATATATATATATATATTTGTTAATTTTCGCCTATTTCACATGCACATCGTTATGTCCTTACAAACGCGGACTCTAATTTTGGTCTTCTTCGACAGAAAATGTTCCAAGCTTCGTAACACGTTTCCCTCTGTTATATTCACTCTATAAATAGTAGCTACAGAGTATTTTGTTTCCATTGTGGACTCTTATCAAACAAGCCACCAAGTTTCGTTGCTCTTCATCACAGTCGATGAGATCAATTGGCATAGCCGACACAATATTGATCTATACATCTAGCCTACATTAGCAGGCTTACGCGCGATCGTATGACGGGAGGACGTAAAAAACAAGGCACGACGCTCCATTCTATATTTTTCGACCTGGCGAAAATCCGGTGGATGTTACCTAACGGAGGGACACCCTCAACCCACGTAAAAGACGGCGGCTGTTTTATCACGATGTCCCACATATCTGTGACTCGAAATGCAAACTTCCCGTGGCTCTGAAGCATGTGCCATGGTAGTAAAGGCGTAAGTGGCATGTTCTCAATTTACCAGTTAGTATCATCTGAAATGTGACAGATCCTCTAACTAAAGTAATGCGATATAACTGATTGCTGAGTTCACTTTGGTTCTGTACGGAATGTATTGCGGTTCCAATGGTAAAATATGCGTTAGTTTGATGAAAATGTATTACAAATTAACAACCAAAACGAAAGTTCGTTTAAATGAAGTACAGTGCATGCAGCGTATTTATCTTACCCAAGCATAACCTATAAACCAAGGTGCAGATCCATGTGTTCGCAGGATAGCACAACAAAGAAAACAGTGAAAACGTCAAAGGAATTCCCGGTTCGATCGTCCCTGTTCTCTTGCTCATGGTATTGATTAATGCAATAATGCCAATGCTTCCATTTCCGACTGACGGTCAGAAACTGAACCTGTTTAAATGTCGATTCGATTATGCAAGATTTGCCACTCGATATACCCTAACTACAACCCTAGTAGCCTCAGCCGCTACAGCTGCAATATGTCTAGGATCAGAAGCATATGGCAGAAACGACGCCAAATCCAGCGATCGCTGCGCCTTCCCCATCACCAAAACCTACGCTTAACCATGATACTCTAAAATTTATATGCATGGACGTTCCTGAGTCCAGGGCAAATATTAAATTGTAAACTGCATGATGGTCTGAACCTGTGGAATTTTGCTAGGGATTGGATCACAGTTCGGGTCATGAAGCAATGGAACAACGGTTTATGACGCATATGAAAGCTAATGCTTGACGTGTCCAGCAGGATGTGACCATCCTAACAGTAAGAGACCACGTGAGCTACAAGACCCACCAAGGGGTTTGGAGTGGCAGAATTTCCAAGAATCCTGCATGAAGTTTAAGAGGATTATGACGCCTTCCACTGTTTGTTGGGGACTAATGCTGTCATCTGGTGGTTATGGGCTATATCAAGTAGTGTAAATGTGAAAGAGTGTATCACCAAGGAATTTTTTGAATAAAGATAATTTGGGGGCACTGAACACATGCACCGGAAATGCTTTCCAAGTGTGGGACATTCGGAGGGAGAAAAGGTTTCGTCAAAAATAAAGAAGGATGAACTGCGTGACGAAATTAGACGGATGATGTCGGAAATGTGTTTAGAATGATATTCAAAAAATAATGATGTGAGTAGTTGCGGTTTTTCTACGATCTGGGACACCATTATGAGATCGCCCCGTGGACGTGGATAATGTCCACCGTACATTCCGTGAGTTTTCGGCTTGATTTGAAATGAGGGGTTGGACAATCCTCTGACGTCCTTCGTCGCTCTGGGTTGTGCGGGTATCTAGCGCTGTGTGGTGATTCTTCTATCAGAAGTGGTCCGCTTGGATAGCGTATTTCGCCTACGGGTTCAGGTACGTGTCAAGACTATGAAAGAAGACTGAGGCGTCGAACTTCCCGAATGCTTTGCGAGTAAAGACGAAGTGTTTATTTGCGTTCTTTCATGCCTTTTCAATCTGCCACTAACAACCTATGTCAGCTTGCACCAGCGCCCCGGGATCCACTCATGAGCGGTCCGCAGTAGAATTTGTGAACCTAGCCGGTAGATGTGGGTACTCTTTTGGCGTATGCTGAAAATTTTGCAATTGGTGGAGTTGGACCGCAACAAGTTCTCCATGGACCATGTATACGATTTATCCAGATCATCCTGTAGGGTTGTGTGATCCTGCACTGTAGAGAAAGTACGCTATATCTTTAGATCATTAACATTTGTTTTGAAGTTTAAATATAGTACCCTGTAGAGATGACATTTTAAGACTAGGCACAGGCAGGGCCTGATTACCTAGCCCTGTAGTACGCCGCACTGAACTTCCATTTATTTCGATAGCGTAATTTGAACCCTCACATTCAGGTGGCATTGAGCGAAAAAGTCGCCTAACCAACCCAGAATAGGATCGCTGATTCCTTAATTCTGGAATTCGAGCAGTAGAATGTTCTGGCCCCGCCGGTCTAAGGCCCTTGAAATATTCCTATAAGCAGCGTCAACTCACACATCACCATGCATAGATTGCGTCCGGCGTGCACGGGCTGTCAACAGGCTATCAACAGATTTTGCCTAAATTCGTGCAGCTCCGGAAAGCAAGTTTGTTACTCCCTAGGTATCTCATGAACACTTCAGTTAAAATGGACTCTGTGAATTTGCAGATCAATTAGAGAAGTGTTATCAAGCGAAAGTTTATTGGTTCCACACAGCCACCATTTTGGTAGACTAGAGTGATGATCCCATGCTTCTATAACGTTGAGATGTGCATCTCCTTGGGAGATATCGCTAGCAAAGTATTGCGAACAGTTCATGTTACCGACATCCACAGCCGATGTGTTATACTACACCCACTAATTACACGCCCCCAATCACATGTCTATAGTACATTCACTGACTGGTATCTGTCTCTCATTGATTCGTTTATTACTATATGTTTTTATGCGACTCCG